AAATGTTATCATACATGCCTCGGTGAGTGTGAATATTTTGTGTAATGAATATTTAAAGTAACTAATAGCTTTGTCAATGATTGAGGATGCTCCGTCGACGGGAATTTTGACACGAAGAGTCCACAGATCGTTTTTGCAACGTCGTGGCTTTTTCCCCTCTAAATTGACTTTGCTGTAAAGATTATCAGTCAGCTGAGCAATGACTGACTTGAAATACGAATTATGGAAAGTAAATATTAAGCCTTGTGTCCAGTTTGACTTTCTCCTTCGGAATACATATGGACTGTTGGACATTATGCAAGTTCAGTGTCGACCATTACATGTACTGCGAAGGCTCAGGGGAAAAGCCGCCGTCGCGTCATTTTGTGTGGTTGGTTCGTGTGATGCCTCGGTGGAAGTCGGGTCAGATTGGTGAGGTGCAAACTATGCAGGCCTGGTTAAATTACCACAAAAAATATGACATCATTAATAATTCCGGATGTTCAAGACACACCAAACACCTTCTCTAATCTAGACAGGTGCATGTTTAATTTCTGTTGGGTATTGAGGAAAGGTAATTAAGCAGAATTGATATGAACCTGCTATGGTTGAGTCATTTGCGAACCTTCGAAAACTACCCCCAATCAGCCATGCACCCCACGTGGTAAGCTCAAAGCGTTATTGTACAGTTATCACCATAAATTAAAGGATAAACTGGAAATGATGTCTTACCTGGATAGGCCTATTGCCATCTGCAGGTATGGATAGCCTCATGCGATAAAAATAATTAGTATTTTTGGAAATGTATTGACGGGGTGTGATACCCCCCTCACCCCAAAAGGATTGCATTAAAGCTGTGACTAGACTCCCTTTCAAGTTAAGCTGGAAGGGAAACCGCCAAGCCAAGTGTGCCTTGCAAGAGGTGTAGCTTCAAGATCCTGATTTCCTATAGGGGGCCTACTGACGACGTCGACCGGAGTATCGCATAAGCTCGCAAAAATTGCCGTGCTAATGAGAAAATGTTGCCAACTGAAAGTCATGTATTTCCTTTATATTTAAACTGAGTATTTCTGCTCTCTGGCTCGACTCCGTCTATCAGAAATCATCAGTGATGGCTTTCGCCAATTTTAGTGCCGAACCGCCGAGTCTTGCTTTGTTCAATACAAAAACCAATTGTTCACTCTCATAACATGTCTTCTGAAATTAATCAATCCGTAATCGTTAGTTTTTAGAACTTATAGCCACTAATTCCGATTGGCTTCTCCAGCTTGGGTGAAGAAGGGTTAATTTTGGCTGGAGATAGGTTTTGAATTTCCCTTCCCGTTCAGGGTTCCGCCCCTTTGCATAAAGATGGAAATTCGAACGCAAAAGTAGAAAGTCCCGTCGAGTTCAAGTGGTCACTCTAAAGCCCGGATTGGCGTCGTTAAGTGCCGGTCCATTACCTTCGAAGTATGCCGTCATTTTAGCCTTTGGCCCAGCTATGGCGACCGCTGAGCATAGGGCTCATCTTCCGCTCCTCGAAAGGCCCATCAGCAAGTGTAGTGAGAGCAATTTCAAATGATCATTCAGTTTGATTAGTGAGTTTGATGAAAAGCTCGGTCCGAAGCCGGATGCTGTTTATTTGCACTAGACGACGCCCCACTGGTCTACGTGTTGGTCATAATCAGTATGGCTTCGGGTTGTCGCTGAGTCGAACTCAGTGTTCCCAAGAAACCTCTCAAAGCCTCAAGTTTAACATCATCATCGAAGCATCGTACTTAATCAAACATCGTCTTGGAAGCATTAAATTACTTCAACCATAATTTTTGCGACGGGTTATTTTCTCTTTGTCGGTACCAGAGTAAAGTGTTCCTTAGGTCCAAGGCACCTGTGTGGGTCCCTTAGGGCCCTAGGAACTCCCCTCCCCAGGAACCAGCTCAGTTAAGCAAAGGAGCGGTGCATTTCCTGAAGACGCTAAATTGTACAAAGCTGTGTAAAAGCAAAGCTACTTTGAAGCTTTTCTAATGTCGAAAATTCGAAGATTACGTCGGAGTTTTAACAACAATGTTGTTAAAGGTGGGTAACACCATTGGTAAAATCACAAATACGGGAACTGTCGAATAATCCATAAATATCTTTTTGGAAAAAACGTAAATAACACCCTCTGCCGATGCGTGAAATATTAATGCTGCTATTTTCGAGAAAAGACAAATTCGTTCTGTTTTTTGTTAAGGGTGGTCGGACATTTTTACAGATTTTGGTGGCCTAAATTTGCTTTCTTTGGTGAGTCACTGTTGTCTATAATTAGCAAGCACGCAACCCTTTCCTAGGAATGTTTTCAGTGAGTAAACTCTGGGTTCAAAGATTGAACAGAAAAGCCTATGCACTAAACAATGTCTTCCCCGGATGACATCACAGCGACAGCACCCTCACTTGTTCCGGCAAGCATGGATAATTTAAAATGTTCAACAAAAACTGGGCTTTTCACTGCATGTAACCTTAGAGGTGTCAAACAGTTTCCATAAATTGAAGAAGAGCATAGAGTTGCAGAAACATTGTGTCGACAGAATACCATTTCAGCTACACTTTTCATATGCGACACGTTCCACTCTTGAACAAGTGCACGCATGTCCCAGCTGCAACGGGCCTCTCCCAAGCGTGTCTCTGCGTGAGTAAACCTCATAATGAATGGAACTCCTTGTATTCTTAGGCCTCTCTGGATGTCTAAAACGTGTGTTCTTTAGATGAGAATATCTCTGCGTTATAGAGTTTTGACACGCTGCCTTATCGTACGTACCTACCTTCTTTGTTTAAAGTGAAACCAAAATCATCTAAGTGCAGATTCTGTTTTTTTTACCACTCCACGAACAGTAGAATTGTGAAATTATTTTGCATCATGGGAGTGCGAATGGGAGGGATTGAGACTGGTCCCCGCTCACATACATGGACCTATGAAGGGATCGCGAACCAGCGCAAAGCTTCATTATGGTTGTACGGCCAACCCGGGCAGCTGTCAAGATGTTTGACATCATGGAAGTTGTTGATATTACCCCTGAAAATCGCTTTTGTTACCCGCTGATTGGGACGCATTTGGTTTCCATCAATCATTTGAAAGCGTCATAAAATGGGTATTAAACGAATTACCAATGCAAATCACTTCGGTAACCGTAGCATTTCTTTAACGAGTTTCGTGCGCCAGAATATAATCCGAACGCCTGCAACCATAATGCCAAATCGTACAACAGAAGCACAGTCTCAACAGTCTTCGACAACGGTCATGCTTTATATAATGGTTTGCCTGGAAGGACGTAAGCGGTTAGGCCTTTTTGCCGGGAAACATGATCACTGCAAGTCGTTTAATAAGTTGTCGAAAGGTGTCTTTTTGAAAAGCCTGTATTGATTTCGCAGTAAATTTTATTCATTTTTACTAAATAAGGAGAGTGTGTTTCTTGCGTCCTTTTGCCTGGAACAGTTTCTCTGCTGTGATCATGCTTCCCTGCAACCTTTTGCCGGGCAGGTATTGGATGGCTTCATAACCTCCGTTTGCCATTTACGCTGTATTTTACGTCCCTCGTTGCACAATCCGTACCAACGTGTCCTTTGCAACGAAGTTGTCCTCGCTCGACAGGCGGTGTTGCCCTTGACCAGGAAAACATCAAACCGTGCTTAAAATGTGAAAGGGAGACAAAAACAAGGCGACTCGCAGCTCTTTCCAAAGCGTTTTTTTTCAAACCTGGCACACGCTCTTTCCTCGCCCATAAATCTAATAACGCTTGAGTTAACTCGCAGGAATTGCTCCTAGAACCGATTGTAGAAGGAGCAATTTTAGATTTAGTTGTGTATCTGTGTGCTTTATTGTGCGCTTGTTCTGTTATATCTTTGAATTCGCACTCAAGAATAAATTTGAAAATTTACGCCGAATAATGCTTCGTTCAATTTTTTTATTTCCAGGAATTCCCGGAGGGTGATTTTAAATCCGATGTTTGAATTTCGATGTTCTTGCAAAACAAACTCGTTGATTTCTTTATTCTCAACTTTATTCTTAGCATATGTCTGAGATTTATAAAGCAAATAGATAAATCAATATCAATGTGGAATTTAGCAAAGAAAAAGTGGCCGATGCGCAGTGAGGAAATCAAGCGAATTCTTTTGAAAATTAAGACAACCGAAGGCCACGTTTCATTGGGCGCATTGTCTTTTTCTCTGTATAGTACCTATTATGGTAATTTCTCGACGCGAGGGAGCTTGTGCAAATATATCATCTCTCTGTCGTCGTTTTGTCCTCCTGAAAGGCCTCTTCAAACAGTCTGATGTTATTTAGCGACGACTTAAGTGGTTGTCGGGATGAGAGCACTGTACACAGATAACGCATCACAGACGGCACATTGGCTCGGAAATTTTTTAGTCCACATCAGGTGCGCGGTCATGGTTCGGTTTGCAAACCATAGGTTCAATTACAGTTATGCATGGGTTATGCGGATTCTAGTAAAATAATTGTTGATTAGGGAATCACGTACAATAGCCCATCATGCAATGCTTTCATCAGACTTTTCACACACACCCTGCCAGTTGTAATTAGAATCCAGTTGCTCTTTCCCGATCTTGTATATTTGTAATAATCCATTTTGCCGTTTTGATGTTGCCTTCTTTGTTCAACTTTGGCATTTCGAGTAGCCACCCGTTATAGTTGACACTCTACATTCCCAAATGAGCTCCAGTTTCATTAAAGGTCAAATCAAATGAAATGAGACCAGAAAAGTCCCCTAAATTACCTTTTATTCTTCTTAATACGAGAATATAAAATGCCCAAATAGCTGCATATTGCTTACTGACGGCCGGAATGTGTAAATCAGTAACGGTAGAGGGCCTGACGTTTCAATCCCAATAGAATCTTTGTCTAGAATAAAATGCCTTTTACGAATGTGTTGAATTCAGATGCCAGTCTCTGCGTGGTGTCTTCGAAGTGAGTTCTGCACGTAGTCAGTGGCATTTTGCGTGTGTTCGTCCCATCAACGGTTCTCTTGTATGCGTCCCTCCCACAGGAACCTACAAGGTAACATGCAGATGTACCTGTTGGGCGTGGTCATAGCTCTGGGTGTGGTTCTGTGCATTGTGATGGTCATAGCGGCCTACCTCTTTTGTCGGCACTGGGGGTTCAAATTAGACCCCGCCAAGGAGGAGCGGTACAACGACTTCTTGAATAGGGTACAGCATGGGGGACAAGACTCCGTTGCCATGGGGCTGAAGAAAGCCGCGCCCAGGCGAGTCGGCCAGAGGAATGGGTAAGTTGAACTTAAAAGCTTCTTCATTTTGCCTGATAGTAATGAATGTGTTTGTGGCATCATCCGTAAAGACCCCAACGCTTCAAAACATTCCTTGAGTACAGAATGAATCCTTTTATCTTCAGTTCATTGGTCTACTGTTACAGCTTTATGTCAAGCAGAGAATTAATGAAACAGCTGGTATTTGAACTTCAGCATATTGGTAAAGCTGATTGAATCGCTAAAGGTTTGCGAATAGTCTTCATTCACTCAAAAGAGGGTGTAAGAGTTCATGTATGTACTCATGTCTTATTAAACAATTACGTAGTTTGATTATTTAAAAGGCAATTGTAAAGTTCCAAGTGGAATCGTGCTTTGGGGGGGGTTGTAGTCAAACGTCTAAATTGGTTTCCTCGCTTAAGAAGAGAAAGACAGTTAATTATTTCAGTCTGTCATCGTCTGTCTCAGATGGCTGATGCAGGGCCGGATCTAGGAATTTTTTCCAGGGGGGGAGGGGCCAGGCCAGAGATTTTATTTATGTCTCATCATTTTGTGTGAACTATAGTCTCCTATTTGTAACAAATCACCTGATAAACATGACGAAGAATCTGGGGAATGCTATCTATTTTTAGAAAAAGTTTACTCTGTTTTTTTTTTATTTTCCCCCTTTTTTTTGTCTCCGAGCAGGGAGAGGGGTTCCACCCCCCTGATCCGCGACTGGATTTCTCGGGTGAAGAAATTGATGTTGTATTACCTTCTCTTGTGAAACCTCATTTGCACAATTTGCATAAGATAATCGAGCAACGCCTGAGGACAGGGCCATGTTACTGGCTCTTGTCGAACTCAAACTCCCGTCTAATCGCGAGTTCTCCGACTTACAATAAAGACAGAACTTTGGAAAGCTTGAAAACGTGCAGGAAAATGCGCCATGGAGGAACGTTTGTGATTAGTTCCCGTCTGTTAGAACTCTCAGTAAACACCTGGTTTTTTTACTGTGCCTCTCCACTTTATAATTTGACAGACGTCATCCATCATCACCCATTTCCCAACTGGTTGAAACTTCTTCATCGTTTTCCCTTCTGTACGTCCGAGCAAAGCCGTTTAAATAATGTAGCCGCTATGGCGTCTATTTTTGAACTAGATGGGAAAATCATACAAAAGGAGCAGAAGTGATTTTGATAAGAAGGAAGAACTTTACTATTTTCCCAGTAGTCTTATACATGGTGCATGCGCAAATTGTTTTCATCTTGTGTGTGATCCTCGCATTACAAACCTTGAAATGGAAGCTATAGGTATATTAAAAGACTTTTTCCCCTGAGTGTTAGGACCTGAATCCTGTTTGCGTTGGTGCAAGGGCAGGTCCGAAGCCAAATTGGGGAACTGTGGGGAGGGCAAAATGTTCACTCTTTCCTAAAAACTCTTATGGCATGCTGGGGTGAGGCTATGTTTAGGGGCTTTGTATACGCTTTGGGAATTGAAAACAATGGCCTTCCTCTTATATTGCCTTTCCCATTACCCGCTGGATCTGCCCTTGTATTGATGAGCCAGTTGAACTCTTAAAGACACGGGGATGCACTTTTCCAGCTTGTTTCGTGTCGTCCGGGAAAGTCATCAACGTCAATCTAGATGGGGTACCAATCAGAAGCTGCCCGTAGACCGTGCCCAAATTTCTCGGCTACGGTCTATGGACAACGGCCGGTGAGAAACGGCTGGCGTAGGTGGCCTTGTTATTTACACACAGCCTCAGCCAAGTGAGTCATTCGGACATTGATTCGTCCCCCTTCTGATCCTCTTCGTCTGGCAGGAGCCGGTTGAAAGCGTCCGACCCGAACGTGTCGCCGGGCCCTCCCGTCTCCCCGGTCGTGCTCAATAGCAACTACAGCTTCACCATTCCCAAAGGTGAGTAGCCTGCATGGTCCGTGCAATTATGACGTTCGTCGTGAAATCAGTGAGCTGGAGCCAGTGTGTCGCTTTTTCTCAAGGGGTGTAGTGATATGAAATTCCAGGTGTTACCAGATTTTCTTCCAACCACTGTGGGGGGGGGGATAAGGGGAGGGGAGAAGCTCTACAATAATTGGACGCTTGGTGGCTCCGTTTTCCATCTTGACTATTTGAACCTTTTCTTTAAATGTGTTTCTTTCAATTCTGAGTCCTTTTGGAAGGGGCCATGAGGGGTAAACCCCTCCCTCACTACTTCCGATGTACAGTGCTTTCCAAATCTCAAGGGGGTACTTAGTGTGAACTAACCGAGCCCGGCTTGTTTCCGTTTTGATTGTTATTAAAATACCCGGTCTCTATTGAGGTGAAGAGTGCCTTCGGCAAACCCTGGTCTGCCGGAGGAGGATGTGCTTTTTAATGCCGGCGCCGATGGATCAATTCTCCGACTGTGTCATTTTCCTCTTCCCTTGCGCATTCTGTTTGGCCGTATCGACCTTATTCACCCGGTCTTAAAAACCCCAGCCGTCTATCCCGCTGTATTTCACGTTATCTCACTCCTTAATGTCCGCACGTGACAGGTTGGCAGGAACGACCCATCGCCAATCGATATATTCGCCTTCTCGTCTCGGAACCCGGCCGGAAGGCGAAACAAAACCGGTGAAATCGTGAATGTCGTCCCTGTCCTCTCACCACAATCTCCGGTGTGCCGCCCTCAGAAAGTCTCCATTCCTCCTGGCATTCATGCCTCCTCGGGAACAATCCCCGCCCCAGTCCTCGCAACAGGCTGAGTATTTTCACCAGTCTATCCACAGGAAAACGCATTCTCTGTCCCCTGGCAAATTTTACACCGCGTAGTAGCAAAACGCACGCTGGCGTTTCTCAACATCCATAATTATAAAGATGCGGTTTCACCAGTAGGTCACTCGCGGCCAAGCCCGATTGATTGCCTCCACCCGATAAGGGTCCTCCGTAATCGGAGCCAAGTATTTCAAGTTCGTACTTCCTTCCTCGACACTTCACTCCCGAGGTATACATTTCTCAGGTCTTTTTTGTTGTTCTCGGCTCTTTTTTTTTCAAAGTACCCTTTTCTTTACGTGTTCTTTGTCAGCATTTCCTGTCCTTGTGCTGCGTTCTGCGCATTCTTCGTCGGCATATCGTCTTCTCGCCGACTGCACTCGAAAGCCGGGACACAAATCTCCCCGTGGGCGTACGCCTGTGGATGCGACGTGTTGTCGCCTAATACCCTTCCCCTACATCCAGCCAAAACTCTATCCTTCTGTTTGCTTCGTTGAAAGTTCAATTTATGCGTCGGCTCGGATTTATTATTTAGGGAAGGCAAAGCCCTCGCGCTCCGTTTCTGTTTATTCCGGAAAGATCTCCTCCTGGATTTCGAGTGTCGAGAAATCCCTTTTGAAGAATGAAACTGCGGTAAAATCGTTGCCAGCCCTCCATGTCTTCTTGCCCATCCCTACAAACGCCTTCTTGCGGTTGTCAGTTAAATTAAATTTGCACGCTCTCTTCAACGTCCATCCCCGTTCTCGTTCATTATTTATTTCAACAAGAAGAAAGTGCAAGATTAAAGTATGTAGTAGATACAACAAAACACAAACAGAAAATATAAATATCAAATGTTCCTTAAAGGATGAGTATAAAACAGGGCCCAAACAGAACCCTGGCATCCAAATAAACCATGTTTCTGCGGGATTATTAAAAATTTAAACTTACTTTAAAAGAAACTCCTCATAAATAGAAAAATTGCACATAAAGTAATCACACACTATTTCACTAAAACGAACCTAAATCCAGCCCTATTTTGCAAAAAAAAAAATGAGTTAACTAGTCCAAATAACCCTGCAGTTAGGAGACAAAGAATGAAAAAACTGCTATCAGTTTTGACAAAAACTTGGACAAAAATCCTTCCATGGTAGTTAAGGTATTGCAGACTGCAAGCTCAGTTATCATTTGACCCAGTGTCGTCCCTTTTTTTGTCTACTTCAATGACAGCCACATCACCCGGGTTCCAGGGTGACTCCTTCACGTTAGAGAAGCCACAGCCGGCCGTGGGTGCCCTCAGCCCAACCTCCAAGACCCCGTCCATGATGGCCCGACTCGACCCAGCCCAGCTCGACCCCTCAGCCCACATGTACAAAGAGAACCACACGGTGGGTGCCATTTGAAAGGCTCATTGGCGTTTTTTGATGCAGTATCCTAGGAAATACTTCTCTCTGAAACTCCTGCGCAAGCGGAAGCTTGGCTTTAAGTCAGGGCCTCAGGTTTCCAGTTTTCCAAAAGGTGGTTAGTTTGCATAATGTTCTCAACGGAAACCGCGGGGATCTAGGTTAGAGTGGCCTTTGTGATTATACACCCTTGGTCGTCCTCCGTATCGATCCGGGTTCGAATCCCTCTTAAAGTGATGTGTGAATTGGGATGTTCATTCCCGCATAACTGCCGACTGGACCGTATAATTTAGATCAAAATGTGAAAAAGAAAGAACAAGGTATAAAATTTACACGGATTTACACAACCAGTTGTTTCTTCAACAACAGAAGTTATGACAGACGTACCCTTCAAAATTTCCAGACCTTGCATACCTTTCATTCCTTTCAGTTCACTTTTAATAATACCCAGCTTAGGGGGCTTACTCCATTTCCACCTGAAAGTTGACAATTAATAATACTGCAATCGTTATAAACATGGGCGAATCTTAGATTCAGCTTTGTGAAGTGTTATTGGATGTAAATCAAAGGTTTTCTTTGGTATTATTAACATCATACCTACGTGTTAGTGTTCTCAAACTTGTTAGTTTTCCAAATGCCACAAATCAACATAGGAACGGCGTCTGTGTGTTCTCGACGTTGGATTCCAAGTTTTCTTTAGGTACGGTGCTTTTAATATTTCTTCTCGGGTCTGAAGATGGCTGTTCCTTCAGGTAATTCAAGACGCGTTTAACATCTTTCGCATGGAATAATTAACAGTGCTTTCCCGCTTTTTTTTCTGTCGTCATGTCAGGTACGGAAACTCTCTGCAGATGCCGGCGTGCCCGGACCCAGCCTGGGAATCATCAATTTTTCTCTCAAATACAACCCGGAGATGGGTCTCCTAACGATAAGACTCATCCAGGCTAGGGACTTACAACCCAGAGAGTTCAGTGGCACAGCAGATCCCTACTGCAAGGTAACCGAGCAGAGAAGAAGCAAACACCATAAGTAAGAGCTGGATATGGGCAATAGTTGGTAATTATGTGAAAATTAAGCGAATGGTTCAAAATAATTCGTGGGTTTCACCACGAAGTGACGTACCGTCCATAGACTTTGTATACACGATACGACAATTTGTGGTGCAGGAACTATCCACGATATCCACGTTAGTTCGTGATGCAGGCCTAATGCCCCAAAGAAAGGTAACAACTGTCGTTAATGCCTTAAAGGCAAAGTCATTTGAAGCGTTACAGAAACGTCGCAACCAAACTACGACCGGCTAAATCGATTATTCGATTTTTTGTCAATCGATCTACACTGAGAGAGTGATTTGAATCCTGATGCGTGTACCTTTATCATGTGCTCAGCACCGTTGCTCTGAAATACAATCATCGGATGAGCTCCCGGCGTTGTTGCTACGAAATCGACAGACGCGCAACTTTAGACGGTAGGAAAGTTCACACCCGAAATCGCCCCCACCTTTTTGGAAATGCCAACACCATCCAAGCTTCACGGGAGGTTTTCACTTTCCAAACGTAATCACATAAATGGATTTAATCCTGCGAACACGACACCAAGACCATCTGTTGTCGCGAGATATCGACGTACCGGCCGTCTGCTTTTACCAGTTATTATTTTTGCATCTGAGAAATTTATCACTTCTAACTCTACGGGATCCGGGCAACACCTTCCATGTTAATACACTGATACTAGATTCTCTAGAGAGGGTACCGCAGAATAATTCCTAATACCAAAGAGCTAGCCGTCGGAGGGAAAGAATAGAGCAAATTTAAACCCGAAAAATTAACATATTTTTTCAACAACGTGATATGAACCGTGAGCTGGATCAAGAGAGGGCGCAATTTTTGTCAGCAAGTGAGGTCCCTTCAGTCGGAGCTGAACTTAGCTGGTTCACGAACGACTGTGAAATGCAAGCGTGACGGTTGCATCGTTACCAACAAATGAATACTTCCGACTAATATGGCTCTTTTAAAGCGATGAGGAGGTGCTTATGCTCGAGGCTGATACCCATGGCAAAACACCCCGCCTGGACTCATCTGCCACAGTGAGACGATAACGTCACACTACTATTGACTTGTTGATACTAATATGTGCCGATTTTCCTGTACTTAACACAGTTAGCTTTACACATGGGAAGTCGGTACCACGTTACCAAAACACACTACTTTATAAGTATTTGGCGCATTGCCTATAATAACATTAGTCCTTGTGGAGAACTTGCATGCGGGAAAAAAATCTCCAAGTCCTGGCCTACACGCCTTAGCCACTAGACGGTAGAACTTGCGCGGCTGCACCTGTTGTTTGGGCCTGATCGAATCCGATACATGTATGTAACAGTTCCGTCGTTTCTATAATATCATCCAAGATCTCTGTGGTGCCACACTCCAACAAGACGCTGCAGAGCAAGGTCCACCGCAAGACGCTCTGCCCAGAGTTCAAGGAGAGCTTCGTCTTCGAGATTCCCGAGCCGGACATCCACCGCCAGACGGCCCGCATCCAGCTCTTCGACTTTGACCAGTTCTCCCGGGATGAGTGCATCGGCACGGCCGTGCTGGCGCTGACCAACGTGGACCTGAGCGAGAAGGTGGAGGTGTGGAAGGAGATCAAGGCTGTGCCCGTAGCTCACCGACGGGTATGAATTTACGTTGCGATCGTACTGTACCATCACTGTACCTTAAAAGGCGGCGGCGGAGTGTAGCCCCTATATATGTTTTCCTGGATATCGGAGCTGCTTTCTCAATGGTTCTGAGCGTTCCTGATCTTTTTTACCATTGTTTTTGCGGTACTTGCTTTTATAGAAACTAGGCATACCATTCTAGCGGATGGCCTTTTTCCCCATGGCACGTTAGTCTAAAATTATTTAGCTCCCCCATTGACAAGTACTCAATGCACGAGCAGACGCGTGAAATGGTCTACTGTAAACGACCATGACAGCTTGACCCAATTTAGGATTGATTAAAACTTCACCGGAGGGCTCCCTATTTTAGCCAAGTTTCAATTGGTCACCGACAAGTGATATTTCGGGGAATAGGGAGGTCCAAAGAAATTGTCTTTGTCGGGGTTAGATACAGTGAAGTACACGTACAAACGAAACTAGTCTTGTCCTATCCATAAGGTCCCAATACGGGTGCCATCCCCGTATATCATGCCAACTTAAAACCGCTTGGAGAATTTGTAGTTTTCAATTTTGATGTATAGACTGTGCGGCAAGTGGATTTCTGGATTCGCAGCAGACTTTCTCATGAGCAAGGGAAAAAGTTTCGTTATCTTGGCGTCTACTCGTCCATGCCATTTCGAGGGTAAATTCCTGGTCAAAGTGGCAAATGGAAATTGCGTAGAAAGTAGACCCTGAAGAATGATCTAATTACTATTTCCTGTTTCGTTTCGTTTCGTTTTCGGAATTCGATTGTGTCCCAAATTCAAACGGTTTCCTTGGTTACTGATTGGTAACTACGGAAAAGGAAAAAAATTGAATTTTTCATCAAAGTCGTTGGTGCTTTTTATAAACTCTGTGTAATTTTCAGTTCTTTTCAGCATAAAACTCATGAGCCTTTGAAGATATATTGGCAATATTTGTGTGTATGAGATGCAATAGTTTCCACACAGTGACACGAGATGTCAGCCATTTTCTTTGAATTTTTTGTTCTCCTTTATGAGAATATTGGGCAACATCCGGGCGTTTTGTGGTACCTACCATCGAGATTTCACGAGATACCTCAAGTTGTGGTATACGATCTGAAAGGCGCTTTTTTTTTCTTTTACAGCCACATAACCAGGCACCTGAGTTGGCTGATGATTTTTAATGAAGACTATAAAACACAAAGCAACACGATGCAAGATTTTGATTCCTCGGTTGGTTCAAGGATTCTGTTTCTCCTCTTACAGCAAAGTGATGAGGCTCCAGAGCTGGGAGATATCATGTTTTCCTTGGCTTACCTACCAAGTGCCGAACGGCTGACTGTAGTCATTCTCAAAGCGAGAAACCTCAAAGCAATCAAACTTCTGGAAGACAGAAGGACATCTGGTATGTTGCAGTCGTTAAACTGTCTTTTAACAAAGTTAACTTCATAACAAAATTCGTAGATGGACGCTGCAAGCAAGAACAGATGCAGTCGAAAATAATCAACTATGGCTGCGTCCGAATCACTGGGCTGTGGCTTAAATTTACACACGACACTATGGGAACCGGCTGTGGCCACTGCCATAGACCCGCGCGTAATATTAAGTCGCAGCCATGTAAATTCAGACACAGCCTAACATTTAAGCAAACATCTGGCGTAGGACAAGCAACATCTAATGGATCTATCATGTCACAGTTGCCTTAGGGAATCTAATTTGGACAGATATCAGAACACTGGTGCTGATAGACGAGGGATATTGTATTTTAGCAAAGACAACTGCCTTTGAAACGTTATTTTAGGCCTATATCAACAAAAGTTGAACATGGCAATCTTTTCTTCTCAAAATGAAATCCCGTGTGACAAGAAATACCTTAATTGAGACCAATTAGGTATACACGTACCTTATAAGCCACTTCATACTTGGCGCGAATGTAAACGCAAACGCAAATTATTCTGTGACGTGAGATCAAATTCACGCCGCGAAAGTTGAACACACTTCAATTGGAGCAAAATTTTGCCGCAAATCTTTCTTAGTCTCGACTACAAGACCGAGACCACAGCTATCAATGCCGAGACCAAGACCGAGACCGGCAAACAGTGATCTCGAGACCTTCATCATTGCTTCCATGACATCAAATTCGCTTCGCTTTAACTTTAGCCTGTAAAACGATCCAGCCCTAAGGGTTGATGGCGTAAATTATTCGAAAAAAGAGTAGTTTTGACGCAACTAAATGTCCATCGACGTTTCGACAAGAAGACGTCGTCGGGAGACGACGGCGAGAGCTCGAGCTTGATTGTCGGGAAAAAATGACCACTTTCCCTTTCAAATTTCATTGCATATTACATGCAGGACTTCCACAAACTTTCGAAGTAAGGTGCTAGTTAAAGACCATTTTTTTTTAATCCGGTGGAAAAATGTCAAAGACAGAAAGAAAAGCCACTGCTACGAAATGCTGATTTTAACGCTCAAAAAGCCTTATTCTATGAGATGAAAGTGGGGCAAATGACACCGATAATTATGTCTCGCCGCAAAGTCTAAAAAAAACGCAGCGTTACAGCAATACCACAGCTTATGGTTGGTTCCATTTTGAATGACTTCAGTCGTCCGTCAGTGTATTCATATGGCTTTTGAATACCAATATCTCGTTTAGTCTCTGTTGTAAACAGGGCCTCCGTTGGTCAGACCGTGGATTTGACTAAATCTGTTGTTTTCTGAAATACTGAAGAATTTTCCTCTGTCTAAGGCGGAACTAAATTTCCAAAGAGCAAGGTAACAATAGAAGGTACTGTTTCATCCTTGCCACCTGAATTCCACAGATCCCTACATCAAGGTGTCCATATTCTGCAACACCAAGCGACTGAAGAAGAAAAAGACCTCAACTAAACACAACACCGTCCACCCGGTGTTCAACGAAGCGCTAGTCTTCAACGTGGTGCAGGAGTCACTCAGACATCTCACTCTGGAGTTCCAGATTATCCATGAGAACAGGATAGGACAGAATGAGGTCAGTAAATGGTCGACTTGCTGCACGTCTCTAATACGCACGATTCACAATAGTGCGCCTCCAGGAGTTTGCAACGCGTTGGCCAATCACAACGAGCGAAATCGAACCTTTCCAAACGCGCACTGGTTCGACAGATTTCGCACATCGTGATTGGCCAACGCGTTGTAAACTCTTGGAGGCGCACTATTGTAAATCGCCCGAGTTAATATACCCTCAGTGTATTCTTGATGGATTTTATTTCTGGAAGTGGTAAATTGGGATGTTGGGCGTGCATCTGGTCGGTGTAATTTTTATTAAGCACCGTATGTTTTTAGCAGCTTCAACAAATTGAAATGTTTAAGCCTGCCCCGGTTTGTCCGTGCGCCCACTTTCTCTTAAAAATTTAAATCTCCATTAGAAAGAAAAGCACCAAGCTGTTCATTTTGTACGGAGAATCTTTCTCTTAGTTGTGGAATTCTGAAGATTTCTTTTTCACAGTCAACCTAGAATTCATCAGCTACATATACAAAATCATGCAAAATAATCAAACTAAAAGAAAACAAGGGCGAGAGAAATCAATCATGGATATTCCACAGATAATCAAAACACCGCCTGCTCATCAAAAATCATGTGTTCTGTTCTTGTCGTCTTATTGGTCTTTCTTTCCTCTGTGTCAGGTTCTTGGACGAGCAGTCTTGGGTCCTGACTCCCAGGGCGAGGAGCTAGCCCACTGGAACGATATGATCTCTTCCAGCAAACCTGTAGCACGGTGGCACAGACTCATCACATAGCGGTGGGTATTATAACCAAGCCTCTGGTCCTCAACAGAAAAGCTTTCCAGAAACTGCACCAAACTGTTCATTTATTTATATTGTATAAAATGTATAATAACCTTTCAGCATTGAAAGATCTCTTGTGCCCTTTGTTGGGAATTTTGCATTTCGAAAAAAAGACTGATAAATTGTCATTGTCATGTACCTATGGTAGAACAACGCATTTTGTATAACATGTAGAATGGTACAAGGTGGACGACCGGCGTAGGCAACAATGGCGCCAGTGGCGTAGCTACGGGAAGGGGGGGCTGCAGGGATGGGGGAACGTGCCCTCCCCCCACAATTCCCAGTGCCCCCCTGGTTGTCCCCCACTGAAAAAAACCGATGAATGGATTTTGAACAAGGCTAACAAAAACTTGCCCCCAAAAGCCACACCACTGAAAGCTGGTGCCCCCATAAGATGCTGGTACCCCCTTTGTGGCCCCCTAGTAAAATCCTAGCTACGCCACTGAATGGCGCATATCATGGCAAGATGCAGTGTAAAAGAAGCCTTCAATAAAATTAGACCTCTTGGTCATCGCAGGATATTAAATGCCCGCACACTGCCATGGTTTGCGGAACTCTCCCTTGAGTGCTTGTCAGTTTGCTTTCTCTCTAGAGATTTAGGAAAAGAACCAGCCAACGATTGGTTGAGACTGCTGCCCCGTTCAGGCGTTTTGAGAGTTGGTATGATGTCGTTTGTTCCAGCCCTGGTGATATTTTGTTAGAGATCTGCTGAAAGTTGGAAAAGGGGATAGAAGAAATCGGTTTAGAAGTGATGACGGGTCACCGTTTTGTGATGCTGTTACCAGAATGTTGCATCACATTATTCCACTGTGGGAAGGCTTCAATACACCTATCGTTTTTTTGAGTATCAATTTTATGAGCGGGAATATCGTGTGAAATCACATTAAACAATGTTTGCAAACGTCCATATCTTTATTATCCATAGTTCAATAGTTGACTGTTCGTGTGGGAATCACGTTTAGAGAGGGAAATACAATTATGAAGACTAAGGAGAGAAAAATGGTTTCACATTGAATTGGCCATTTCTCTTTATTGTCATAAGAAGAGAAGTTGGAATTCGGGCACGGTGTTGGAGCCCGTGTCCCTCCAAGTTAAGTTTATTGGAGGCACCCAATTATTCAAAGATTGGCTGTGATTGGTTTCTGGTAGTGGACGCGCATCCTTTTTCTACGAGCATCGCCTTTTTGTATTCGGTGCCTCAAATCCTCAATGATCCTTCAGTGACGGATCTGTGATTTTGACGAGGCTTGTAGTGGCATTATTTTAAGTCGACAGATATGCAGTCCAGATGGCGCAAGGCGGGAGCCTCGTTTTGCAATAACAGTGTGACGATATTTAGGGGAAGTGTGCATTTTGGTACAAGTGATTTGTTTTAAATACTTTACACTTGTTAGGCAATTAGTTTTAAATGTTACACATGTCGGGCGGAAGTGGTTTGGCTGACCAACCAAGCCACCTCTCGACTCTTGCTACGACAGCCAGAAGTGAAGGTGGGATGTAAGATGCTACCGTGACAACAGTCATGTGTCCCCTGAGATATTTGGGTGGTGGTTTTGTGCAATTCTCGAGAGAGATGAATTTTTGAAAGGATAAATGGTTGGAACGCGACCATCCGTCGTAGTCTGACAAAATTCCTTCGAATTCGAAGGAATAGCAACAATATTTTAATGTCAACTAAATATTCTGGAAATTAGTTTGATCAAATTGAATTGAATAATTAAAAAGTAATTGAATCAAACACAAGGTGCCTTGGATTATGAAATCAGTAAGGGTGTCTTACACTTTTCATTACCTCGAAATTCTTTTTCATGAAACTCCGGGTGTTAATTGGATTCATGGCAGATATTGATGTAAAGCAATGATACGTTAGCGCCTGAGTGTTAGTTTACCAACTGTAAATCTTTCAGTAATCATCTTGTCATAGAGGTTTTGGGTTTTATGTTGCTAAATCGTTGCACGGTTAAGTAACACAAAGCATCACTTTGATGTTCAAGATTATTTATCAAGTTTGAATGAAATTTTCGCATTTGTGGCCCTTATATATATTAATCTTACAGAATGTCGAAATGTGTACCTCAAAATCGTAATTGAATTTATTACAACGATCGGGGTATTGGAAACAAATTAACATTTTCCATCATTAGTTTTGTAATTTTATTAGTTTGGTATTATTGCTTGCTGTACAAAGATTTCAAATATTGGAATTTGTTACAACATATTTTTTGAATATTGCATTTTGAATGGCTGTGTTGTTTTCGTTTTTGTACGTGCATTTCTGTGTAACGATTTTGTATCATTCGTGAAATCATTATTTTGTAGCCACTTTTGCGTCTGTAAATACTAGAGAATATATACACCTTTGCACTGTTTTGTTAATAACTATTATTCCAGTCAAGAAAATATCGATATTTTGTATAGAAACAAGTGGAGCACGGAATTGAAGGAAAGGCTTCTTATATAAGGGCGCGTTGCAAGCTGGTTTTACGAACGGCAAAGGAAAGTCTTGAAGTACCAGACAGATCTAGCATGAAAACGTAACAGACGAAGATGAACCGAAAAGTGAATGAATTGATTGTTTCGTGGACTGTTGTTTACCTTCACTTGTGGTTTTAAATCACTTTTTATCCACGAATACTGAGCCTCCTACAGGTACGTGTATCTGATCAGGAAGTAACTGTTATAAAATTGCTCGTTTTGTGTCTTTTTCCCTCTGTGCGGTCACTGAAAATAACCATAAAGTAAAATTATTCCAATGCTTAAAATTAAACAAAGGCATACCAAGACACTGGTGATACCCGCAACGTCTCTTGTACACAGTACGAGGAATATAAACTTCAGAGGATATTGTGGAATAAGCTGATACAAGTGGCTTTATGCAACCTTAATGGGAATCACTACAGTTGCTTGAAATGGGAGAAAATGCCCTCTGGATCAGTTCAGCGTGGAAAAGTTTTGGCTGGCTATTCCAGTGTTCTTTCATTTCATTCTCAATTTCCCGGTTGTGGCTTCAAAGTGAAAGTCCAAATAAGAAATCGAAAGATTCTTGAAACGAAGTACCTGACAAGCTTGCCAAGAGAAATTGATGAACTGCATTTGTGTGCCTTTGTATACTCATAGACTTCATCTTATTGTCTCTTTTGTCTGTGTACAATGTAAGCGGAAGGATGAACAGTGTGCTTTTTAACACCACTTGGTAAAGCTCATAACTGCTGCGTCATGTAGGCCCTATTTGTTTTGAACAGTTTAGATAGAGAAAATCACCAAAACAAAGTGAAGTTAGAAAAACACTTGTTCTTCGAAAACACGTCGTTTCTTTGAATTTCAAGGCGTAAATGGGGTGTAGAAGACGTCACAATCAGTGAATAATTTGTGGACGGCAAATGCTTGCTTCCATCAGTCTACAAACACGTGCTTGCTAGGCATGGAGCGGTATACTTTACAGTGCGCATGTGTGTCGTCGTCCAAAAAAGGTCACGTGGCCTGTGACGTCCTCTGCACGTTCTCAGTGTGCACATGTTTGGCACGACTATGGGCAAAGCCAAGTCAGTATTTGTGCTCCTGTTTTTTCCCTGTATTACCGATGTAGATTAAACTAGAGACCTTGATAGATTTAGGAATGGATCTTCACCTTAAGAAGCATCAGTTTAAAGTGTAGCGATGGTAGGGTCGACTGAAACTGCTAATGCTGTTAGTTATACTCTAGTTCCACGACCCGTATTTCTCTCTTTGTCATTCATTATTGTACAGTATTATTGTATAATTCACACCATGTCAAAAATTTAAGTGCGCTTGAATATTGTTCATTGTCACCTTAAATCTGAACGATATGAATTCCGCAATGTACTTTGCACTTTAAAGGCGAAATGGTTGTACATATTTTATTGTATTTTTGGATGGAGAATAGAAGTCTATTTATATATTTGCGTGTTCGAAATGTATCTTGACCGAATTACAGTGGTAAGGCTCTGAATAAAAATGTGTCTGGCTGGAAGGGGGCATTTTATTTGTCACGTTTTGTTGGTGTTCGGGGCTCTACTTATTCGCGCGGTGTGAGAAGCGCCCTCACTGGAAAACACAAAAGGTCTACTCACGTGTGTCCCTGTGGAATAAAGCTCTTACCGGAAAAATGGCTGCCATGCAGAACCTCTGTATGAATAAAATCAGGTTCATGCCCTCAATCAGCACACATATGTCAGTGAAGCCACCAGCGGCCATGTTACTGTCCCAAATAGAAAGATAGCGCAAAGGCTTAATTGCTCGTCATTGTCAGCCATATTCGTTTGTGGCTCTCGAAAGAGCCATTGCAATTCTGAGAACATGCATGCATACATTTCCTGCCATCCCGTATTCCTACTTCATGAATTTATTTGCCAACGGGGCACTTTTTATTGTAATTAGTAAGACCATTTTAAAAATGTAAAATGTCGATGCCTTCCTTGAAAATGAGGGAGTTTCTCGCGTGAATTTCATTTCAGGAAGATTTTGACCACCAAACTTGCTCACTGAAAATATTCGCGTGAAAATATACACATAGACACAGCATTATGTGCTGAAACAACACTTAATCTCCAACTTCAGGAAAGCAAATTCAAGACATCGAAATGTTCCCAATTCTGTCAAATGGCCATCCAGTACAGAAAAAGCTGTAGCATTGGTTTCTTCCTGAAATGACACCATACTTATGCTTATAATTAAACAAATGTATAAGCATAAAATAAAAAGGTCCAAACGTGCCCGTAAGAGTGGTGAAATGAAAACTGAACATATGTTTAACCAACGTGCACATAAGGACTTCGTTGTCATGCAAAGAGCCCTTTAAGTCATGAGAAAGGGACGCAAGAAAAGAGAGGGCGCTGTTGACAGAGAAAGGGAAGCAAGCCACTGCTCACACAGCAGTGCAATCTCCTAATTCATGGCCGGGTGTGTCTGAGGCTACACAACGTTACCGACTAACAGGCAAGTCCAGCTCTTATTCAGACTATCGTGCTTTGGAATAATTAGGCTATTAAAATTTGCATTTGTAACAGCCTGACCATGCACGGCATTGACTGCTCAGACAAGCCATAATGAGCTTTGTGGCATTAAGAACACGTGCTGTGTTATTTGTTGCACTGACCCGAAACCGTAAATCGCAGTTTCATTTAAACTTAAACTGTTGTCTAGACTGCATTTCTGCTCATTACGTGGCGGAATCCAAAGAAAGAAAATTGGACACACTAAGCAATTTGAATATTCCGGCGCTTTTCAACGAAAGATCGCCGACAAATTCAAATAGACATATGCAGTATTGAGTTACATCTCAACTACTGTTTCATGCAGAGGGAAGATTTTAGCATAATTGATATTGTCTAACGATTTGGCATTTACGGGATTTAAATATTTATGACGAGTACTTTGCCCTGAATAATATTAGATCGGCACTGATAAAATAATAAGCAGATACGTGTATCAGCATGACCTTATGTGCATCGTAGCAAATTTATTAGCATTTTATAATAATTAGCAAATAATAATGATAATCCAACAGGTGTGTGGTATCATGAACTCTATAGCGGTGATGTCGAATGGATTGTGGTGACAGTATATTGAAGATGTCCAAGGGTGTCCATTCGACGAAAACGCTGATTTCCTTGTAAAAATATGGATGGTTCTTCTGCCTTTCAAAGTCATGCACACGAGTGAAGCCTTGCGTTGGTTCCCGAGCCCTCCACTGACTCAAAAAATCTATTCAGACTCGTTGGTCGTAGAGTAGCGATAAGCGAGGGCAGCAACTTCAATTCCAACAGCCGATGGTCTACCCAGATTTGTAGATATTGTTTTTGACTGTCATGGGTTTTTTTAGGTGATGATCAGTTATAGTTGTAATAAACAATAACACAAAGGTAAAGATAGTGGTTACGACATTTAAAATCACGTGTGCTGTCATTTTTAGTATCCACGTTCTTCCAAAAACAACATGGCTGACAGAAACATTATTCAAATATCTTTTTAGCAGACAAAATAAAAGAGCATCCAAACCTCTCAGTGTTTACACCCGTACGTTCATTCCTTCAGCCGAAAATAGGAATCTCTAGAGCAATATCAGATTCACTTTCCTTTCATCCTCACCAAACAGTCGTTGGTGATTCGGAGCTGCATTCATCAATCAAGCGGGCTGAAGCCGTGCAACGTGCGCGAAAGCTCCATCCGAAGTAAGCATATATTATTCAATACAATTATACGCTGCCGTATTTAATGTGCTCGGAATTGCGGTACAATACCAGTGTACAACAGCATCATCCGAGGTTCATCACTGACAATGGATAGGGCAGGTAGGGTGTTTTAAGTGTCAGAAATTCGGGATTTTGTTTGTTGTTGTAGGGGAATTTTTAAAAAAGGAAGCTGACAAAGAAAAAAATTTTATGCAGATGTGTGCTTTTCGTTTGCATCTTCATGGACGGTTTCATGTTTGTTAACGTTGAGACTTTCAAGATTGAAAAACATTACACTTGTATATTCTGATATCTAGATTTGACGGATATTTCTCAGATAATATAATTGCATGGGTATGTATTTTTGATCAGTCTGCGATGCATCTAGGTTCTCGCTTTCCTTGCAATTATAACCAAAGGTTCCCTGCCCCTTCATTGAGCCGTGCCCCACCCATCTCCTGCGTCAAGGCTTGTGCGAATTGCTGTATTTTTGGATAATCGATGTTGTACTGACAGTTCTTTCGGAAGTGAAGACGTTGCACTTGTAAATTAAAGTAGGATTGTGAATTGTGGCATTGCTGGCTGTCATTGCTAGCTGTCATTGCGTGCAGTAGACCACCTTTAAGCGCCGTGAATTAGAGATTATTATGAATCAAGACAATACACAGGAACTATACGTCAGTCCATACAATCGACTGACATGGCATTGAAGTGTACTTGCATTTTCGCCTCTGTTGTCAGTGACTGAAATAGTACAAAACGACAAATGTATTCGAAGGTTTGGGTTTTTTTTGTTTGACTTAGATTGTGTTTATGTTTCAGTAAAATGTTGAATTCATTAAGTTATACGAAACCGTGTGCATTGCAGCCATGTCGTGCACTAGGCCAAAACACGTGAACAAGACTCGGTACTCGCACATGCATCGACTTTGTTAATTCAACAACAACCTAAAAGGGAAAATGTCTGTTTAATCTCTAATACTTTCATGATAACGAAAGTGCGTTTGCCGTGAATGTGGATAATAAAGCAATCGCACTTCCTCGTTTTTATGGTACCAGTGTAAATAATCATAATATGGTCATCTGCAAACTGAATATACAAAGTGTTGTGCAGAATAATTATAAATAACATGACAGTCAAAATATTACATATGTAACAATATAAAATATTACAAAATGGCCTGAAAAATACTACAGCATCATGTATACGGCTTCAATACCGTACAATAAAAAACAAACCGGTAGGTTTATATGACAGGTTTTGCCCTAACACAACGCATATACGGCTATTGATAAACACTGTGTGCTCAGTGCTTGTCCGAGAGCTTGCGAAAAAATTCACAAACTTTAACTTGGGTGGGACTCGAACCCAAGACCTCCTGCTTACTATTGCAGACGTTTTAACATCTCGACCACCGAGCTTGCCGGGGTTGGCTGGCCAGTCCGAGTCAAGGTGAAGTCAGCCCAAGTCAGTTGAAGCAGCACGTACTGCCAATTACTTTCAAGATATATTGTAAAAAAAATAGTAATAATAATAATAATGATAAAAAGTACATCTTGAATCCGGGAAGTAGTAATGTTTTTCCCCTAGTTTAAAAATTCACATTTAGGGATAATATTCACTGTTGGGTCTCTGAAGTTAATACACGCATCGTTCGTGATCGGTCTATACGCCTATAAATATACTCAACTTCGCCCTGTACTTTTTCTCCGGACTTTTTTACACAGGTATCGGATTGTGACATTTTGATCTGCTCCTGATATCTTGATATCTTAAAATTCAGTGATATTCAGTGAGGTCGATCAGTTAAGTATATGTATCACAGAAGCTAGCAGCAGCAGGCCTGCTACAGCCTGAATTAAAACGCTGAAAGACCTTGGTATTACGTAACAAGGGAAGCCGCTTTCTGAACGATCTCATTAGGAGTACTTACAATTTTGATTACTATGGGCGGCCAGAGTTTGCAGGAATATCACCGATGAATAGTGCTTGATTTTAATGTCAAAATGTACATTTTTACACTTAAGGAATCATTCTCAGTTTGCTTGTCTATAACAGTACGCCATAGTTTTAGTAGCCACTTAATTGATGGCAAGACTGGCAGACTGTGACAAAAACTGAGACCCTTCGTCGATCTATTTAATTTAAAACGCCGTCGACAGCAAACATGTCATATTGGACGAAATGGCTTCCTCTGTTATCGTATCGTTGTCAGCCATTTTGTCCTGCGATTTTAACCGTTGGCATGTTCTGTTCCCGAAGCACAAGTCCGAATCTATCTGGCAACGCATCCGCCTAATAAGCGAGTAATCGGCGTCAGTGTGTGTTGGGGAACTTTTTACGAATTCAAATTGTGCAAGGCTAACACATGTTTAACCACGGAGGTAGGAATTAACCAGACATTCATCCCATGCCCTCGGGGAACTACAGATATCTTGGTACCTTGATGAGTTTTTGCCAAATTGCTGTGATTAACAACGCGTATCGTCAGTGCACAAAACTGCAAGCAACGATCGCAGAGGGTTCATTATTTGCAGAAATATGAACCCGCACAAAAAAAGACAAACACTTTGTTCGTGTTCACTGCGCCGAATTAAACATTGAAAATATAACACAAACTTATTTCCTGTGTGATCTTTGAGCGAATGGAAGGTCGCATTAAAATTAAGTCAAAATTTTAACGAATACAATCTTTGAGCGAATGGAAGGTCGCATTAAAATTAAGTCAAAATTTTAACGAATACAAGTCTGGGTAAGGTAACGGTCTTGATGTCCGTTTACCCACAAAAGGGTGTCTTTCTCTAGCCTTGTAGAAATGAACAGCTCTTCTCTCCGAGGGGTAGAGCAATGGTCTCAGTTTCTCACTTAATCCCTTTTTCAAACCAGACATGAAAATCTATAAAATCTCAGTATGCCATTGTGTCAGGCAAAGAAAACACTAACAAACGTTTAAAGATGGAATTGAGAGCATCTGTTTTACCACTCCCTGGTTCTATCAAGCATAAAATGTGCTACATAAAAAATAAACAAAACGTGCTGGTCAGTGTCTTGCGTGCATTTTTTTTATATTGAAGGTTGACAACCCCATAATGTTTTGTGTACACTTATACCAGCGATTTCGTAGCTGAAGTTGGACTGTTGTTTCTTGACCACCGCGCAAGCGCTGTATGTCAGTCATGATGCTTCTTCATGAACGCCAAATTTGCTGGTATATTACACACCCGTGGATTGTAACTAGCAGACCGAACAATTAGCATAAAACTGTATACTTTATTAAATTTTTTTCTAACCATGCGTTTTTCACGGCGTAGATTCGCAAACATGGCGTGGCGCTTTCTGAAGAGAACGTAAAAGCGTTGTTACATTGTAAAAAGGTTCTGGCCAATTTAATAAGGTCGGAAACTCTGTTTCAACGCTTCCTGCCTTCCTAAAGTGGACAAGTGTATGCAATCGGCTAAGAGATCGAGTGTTAGTTCTCTCAGTTAGCTTTTCAGTGACAGCACAGTGTAGTTTGTTTGACTTTTTACATTCATGATTTCTAAAATCAGGATCTAGTCCCTGAACAAAAGTATGTAATAAAAATTAGGACTTTTTGCAAACCTACAAGAAACAACTGTTAACTGATAACGCGGTCATGAATCATGCGCAAACTCAAAATGGATACTAGGTACACAATGTATACAATAAATATATATTAGCTTTCCTTATACCTGCACTAAACACTTAAGCCTACTGAAAGTGGTTGTAAAAAGTGGCGGAGAAACTATGTTAATTTCCCGACCAGAGCATGCAGTAAAATGTAAACGCTGCGGGCGATTTATCAAAATGTTTATCGAATCACAGGTCAGCTGATTGGTTTTCATAATGGTCGTCTGGCAACAACCACGGGAATCAAAAGGAGTTAGTTAAAAAAACCCTGATATTTGGGAAGGCACCTAAACGTATACAGGCGACATTAGAGGCTGTATAAGGCAAGATTTGAAGACAGATCCTTGACACCCACAGAATGCTTGGGACCGTGAATGGTGTACAGTGCCACGACGTGTTCGCTCCTCTGTATGGAAACTATATTCATTATTACGTTATTATTAAATTGTTGGTGTGATGAGCATTGTGTTGGTCGAAACGGTTGCTTTCTTAAAGGAAATTATCCCGAGTTGTTTAGGTTGTAGCTTGTCATTAGTTAGCAGAGAAGTCAACGCGAAAATATTCACTGTGTCCCTAGTAATGCAGATTCGTAAGAATTTATGGTTAGATGCAGCCTAGCCTATATTGCATATTCATGAAATGGGCTCTTGACCCTGGGAACGACCACAGCGATAAATCTTCGAATATTCCATTGTGATGAAGAACAATGGTTTATCTAGTATAATTGCGGGAAGGACTTTGGAGCAATAGCCTGATATAAAAGTTCATTGTCTGTGGTCAAGTTTGGGTTAAATGTCATCAAGGCAAATCTCAGTGCTAGGGTACGGCTAAGTTGTATGGTAGATACGTGAAATATTTTGGACAATTGTGCATTGGATGACTAATGCATGGTTTAGTACACAGTAAGCGTGTGCCTTTGGAAAGGTATTTGGTCACAGGGCTATTGCAGATTTGTCCTATGACAACAATGGCGGCCCTTTGGATTTTTAGTCCGTGGACTGCGCAGTGGGGTAAAGGGCTAAATGTCCAGGGGCACCCAGGGGTGCACACATTTTTTCAAGGGGGCACCTCAGGAAAATAAGCTACAGCTGCATTTTAACGGAGATTATTGACAAATTTCAAATGGGGGGGCACCAGGGAGCCACGGACATCTTCTGGGGGGGCGTGCCTCCCGTGCCCCGTGTACCATGAACCAATCAAATTGGTTCATGAACCAATCAAATCGGTTCATGAATACAATTTTGTTCTCCTTATTTTCAAGCTTTTTGTCATTCAACAGAAATATCGGGGAACATTTCAAGCTCACTGCTTTGAATAATTGAACTACAAAAACCAAGATGTTAGATGTTGAAGTAGTTACTGAAACCTAATTGGACAAGTGTTTCTGACTCAGACAATAATCCCAGTTATTAGTGCCTTGGAGTTTATTGACAGTCTTCGTTCCAGTTTTGTTCTTATTTTGGCTGTGAGAGATTTTAAGCCCTCAATATCTTGGAACAGAAGTGGTGACTCTCCTATCGGCCCGAACGACCAAAGTGAAATCTTCCTGGATGCATTTAATTTTGCTGGATTAGTTCAACTTGCTACTTTAGAAACCAACGAGGTATCATTGTCCGGGCGGCAATGCACTCTACAACCTCCCCGGTCAGATAGACCCGGAATTAGGTCCCATTTGGCGTGACCCTTTTCCGGGTCAAATTATGACCCAGACAGGGTCAAATATGACCAAGAGAGGGTCGAATATTACCCCGAAATGGGGTCATATTTTGACCTAGAAAAGGGTCACGCCGAATGAGACCCAATTCTGGGTCAATCTGACCCGGGAGGCCAGAGTATGTCACTGGTACTATTTTGATTTAGGTACCGGTGAGTGATCCACTCGTATCTTCAGTTGTATGTTTAGTTGGGAATCGCTTTATTGATTCAGATCATTTCTCAGTCAAACCATTCTCCGCTTGTAGATCCAAGACTGTTTCGCGCCTTCGTATTGTTACGGCCAAAGTGACATGCAACTGTTTTATCACTCTGTTAAGAAAGCTCACTAGTATTTTTGCGTGATCTGTTTTTTTGAAATTAGAAGGGAAATTTCTTTCCCTTCAAATAATTGATTTTTATTAACTGTTTATCTTTTAACTCAGGGCAGGTTGAACCTTTAGGTTATAGGGAATTTTTTTCCTTCTCTGTCTTGCCTTTGCCACGGTTTTGACATATTCAATTTTACCTGATTTGTATATCTGTCCTTTTATAATCTCATCCAATTGCACGTTTTATCCCGCAACTATGTATTATTTATTTACTCCACATTGTGTATACACAAAAAGATAACAAACAACATGAATATGTTCATTTGTTTATTGTCGTTTTTGTAGGATTATATTATAGGAATTCTGTAACTGTGCCAAACCCCATGATTTATTATCAAAGGCGAACAAGTCCTGCACCCATGCGCAGTACTAACGCTGTTGATAAGCGATGTGGTCAAGAAACCTTTTGCGAGTTAAATTTGAATAAAATCTGGTACACCGAGTTCTTTAAAGTCGCGTAAATAATTGAATACACTGTTAATAAACTGTTGCTATACTATATCCAGCAAGAAATGAGACAGGGGTACCCCCCCCAATGTTCAATCGCTATACACACTCTAGATTATTGTTACCTAATACACCCCCCCATAGATGTCTGAAAAGAATTTCTCAGATTCCAGTGACACAGAGACCAACACAGAGCGGGGGGAGGGGTTCTCTCCGTGTCATATCTTGCTTCATATGTGCTATAGCTCGTGGTTCGAGGCCGTTCAAAGAGACACCTTGCACCAATACACTGTTTTCACAGGATAAGAGGGCACAAAGGAACCACTCCATTCCAGAGATGGTGGTTGCTACGCAAAAGCTTGCCCCAAATCGCGAGGTATTGCAACAGTCTCGTCTGGGAAGTTCAAATTGTTGTGTTTATGTACAATCAGATAACTCAGTGTACCAGATTGTATTCTAATTCAACTCGCAAAAGGCTTATTGTGCATGGTGTAGGCGACATATTTACAAGCAGCCGCTGACGACGAGTGAACACCTGAGTGGTAATATTTTCCGCTTGATTGATCGTGCTCACAGCTTTGTAGATAGAAATAGTATTTGTTTTAGCTATGGATTTTTGAAATTCAGGTCAGCTCCAGTCTGCAGAGAAGTCAAGCGAATAAGGACCACGTATGACCTCACTGATGTTTGATGGTTGATAATTGACATTTTCTATATCGACAAAGATGACGTATTATCACATTTTCCTTTTTTTCGCAGGGTGCACCAATCCAGAAATGGACCTGAAAGCTTTCCAAAAAGAGGCACTCTCTGCTCATAACAAGTACGAATTTGTTTCTCCTCTCTTGCTGACACAATATATAGTCGAAATAATGAGATTAATTTAGATAAAGATGTGGTGACAAATTTTCCCTATATTTTGCTTCAACTTCAAATTAGAACATGTCGTCAGGTTGACATGGACCGGTGAATTACATCTGTTTTGTTCCAAAGTTTTGAAATTTCTAGACCTGAATGGAGAGCAATTTAACAATTTAAAATGAAAATGGTAACTTTGCCAACATTATAAAGATCCTGTGCAATATTTTTGGGCTCATCAGTTGGGGCTCACGAAAAGCATTTAATTGAAGGATCTAATCTCCTTACAGTGCGCCACCAAAAGGTTACTAAGGAGAGATTTCAGAGCTCCTTATTGAAATACAAATTCTCGGGAAATAACTTTGGAATAAGGACTCCGTGTACCGGGTTTGCACTTTGCACGGTTAAAGATGGCATTTGGGTTGTGAATAACAAATCTGTTAGTGCACTCGTGTTAGTGAAGTATAAGCCGTCGTGAACTCTGAAGGGGGCGTCTGAGGGCATATTGTAAAACATTTCAGGAGGTTTCTTTTTAAATTTCGCTCCAAAACATAATAATGATGTCCCAGCACAGGGCAGACAGGAGGCATGTCTTGCCCGCTCACCCCCACTCCCTGTTGGTTCTGCGACGTTTGATGCCTTTTGGAAAAAAAGCGTGTGCGCCAAAGCGCCCCTCCGTAGTTCACCGCAGCTTTGGCAATGTTATGACATGGTGCCGTCATCCGTGTTGAGAGACCTCAGATGACTCCTTACTTTCTTCCTGCATGAAATGTTTGTAATTGTGTCCCTATATTGAAATGTTTCATTGTGACTTTGACACACAGATACCGGGCAAAGCACGGCGTCCCAGCCCTGAAGTTGAGCGATGACCTCTGTGCGCACGCGCAGAAATGGGCAAATCACATGGCGAGCACCAATTTGTTCCAGCACAGTAAAGCGCGGGGCTTCGGGGAGAATATCGCTATGAATTTCAACTCAATGACCACGGAGTTTACAGGTATACAACGACAGCAAACATTATCGTGGTCTATTTATTTCAGTGAAGAAACGGAGAATTTCTTGAACGGAATCCTGGAAATTCGCACATGTGCCTATTTCACTTTTAATCTTTAGCTTTAGTTTTGCCGTGTTTAAAAGGTATATTCTTTTTTCTCATGCTAATAAGAATTTCTCCTGAACATTTAAAAAAAACTCTCTACTGATGGTGCTCACTGGTTTTGAGTTATAGCTGCATCAGTATTTTCAATGTGATATCATCACTGATGCTGCCGCTAGGCAAATGAGCAAAGCAGAGTCTTTTCAATTGATGATGAAGTAATTTTTGGAAGTAACTCTGAACCGTTCAGAAGTAGAATGAATTTTAGAGCATAAGCTCTGTGTTGCCACTTTCCGAGGCCACTTATACTAAAAATAGAACCGCTTTATGCTAACACAGTCCAGCCACCTCGCCCAGTTGTCATTTCCACGTATAACATAGTTCCTCTCTACTGATTGGACAGGCCAGCAGGTGACTGACCAATGGTATTCCGAAATCAAGGATTATAACTTCAGCAATACTGGGTTCCAGTCGGGAACAGGTAAGCAACCGGCAAAAACGCCGTCAAGAAAGAAAGACACGATGTTTTTATATGCAGCTTATGGACTCAGACTTGCACTGTGTTACCGTTTTCCCTGAACTTTTATTTCATAAGTTTGACAGAAACAATATATTTTGTCATGTCAACGAAAAAAAGAACTGCAAGGGAAATTTGTACTAAACCCTCCGATAGAAGATTAAACGGATACTATGCCAACCAATAAATCAACTCCTGCCACTTTTGATACGAGGTTGCAACGGAAACCGTAAGTCTGAGTGACCCAAATCGACCTTCCCAACGATGTAGAGTTTTTCTCTGACACTATCGAGCGACTAACACACATTATACGATAAACGGATTTGCACAGGTCATTTCACCCAAGTGGTGTGGAAAGACTCGGAGGAGATGGGCATCGGTAAGGCGATCGGCTCGAAGGGCCAAGTGTTCGTGGTGGGCAACTACCGACCGGCCGGCAACATGATGCGGTGTTACCAGCAAAACGTCTTCCCTCCCGGCAGCGCGACCATTGCGCCAGGATCGGCGGCTCGCGCCACGGATGAGAGACCCAGAGAGCCAGACATGGTGAGTTACCGCGATTGGAGCGTGAATGTGCAATCTGAGTTATTTAGGGAAAGTTATTTGCTAACATGACGAATGACAAGCCATCCATTTTCTTAACCATTTTCACTCTGTCTTTGAATTTTATTGCTGGATGATTTTTTTTCCTTTTCATTTTATAAGCTCTCTAGAGGGAGGCATGGCATCCATATACATGTATAAAGCTTCACTTCTGTGCTCGAGAGACTGCTAAAAATAGATGGCCCAAGAAGATTGTACGCATGTGAGAGGAATGAGATTGGGCGTGAATATCGAGTGTGATAAGTTTATCAACCGACATTGGGATTGAGAGTGTTGGGACCACTGTAGGTTTGGTGTAACTTCTCATTGTTGCTTCGCACCAAAGCAGCATCGGAGCACGGAAAGAGGGATCAAAAACTACCAGCTCACCAGACTAGAAGTTTCCATATCAATGTTTAGCATAAAACAGCTCTCCATTAGAGTTTTTTTTTTAATGACTTGGCTTTTTCAGTAGTTTTAGAGCGCTTGTATTTGTACTTAATTGGTTTAATAGAGGTCCGCATTACCGGAAAGGATGGATCGGGGTGGCGGGAATATCCGCTCAAAGGTGCCCCAAGCTGACCTGAAACAGTTCCAGAAAGACTCCCTTGATGTCCACAACGAATACCGATCTAAGCACCGCGTTGATTCGCTGAGGCTCTCCGATGATCTCTGCAAGAGCGCCCAGGATTGGGCAGAGCACCTGGCCGAGGCAGGCCGCTTGGAGCACAGCAAGCGGACGGATATTGGGGAGAACGTGGCCATGCACTATTCATCCGCCACCACCCAATACTCGGGTACGTGTAATTCAGCAAAAGCCAATTCGATGCATGTTGGAATCAAAGATATGAGGCCCGAGCTGTACCAAGAGAGGGCTCAATTTTCCTAGCAGCGCAGGCTCCCTTTGGCCTTGGTGGGAACTGCACTTAACTGGTTCACAAACGACTATAAAATACACGCATTACAGTTGCTTCACTACCAACAAAAACCAACACTCCCAACCAACCTGGCTCTTTTCAATCGATGAGGGAGTGCCTCTACTTGCGGATACACGTGACTTAGCTTTATTCCAAGGTATATTTTCGTTTCTACAGGCAAGGAAGCATGCGATCAATGGTACAGCGAGTTGAGCAAGTACGACTTCCAGAAGCCAGGTTTTGCAAGTGGAACAGGTTGGTGAAATGGTATCGATTCGTTGGTGTGTATGAGATAATGATTTGGCACGATTTCCTTTCGCTCTGTGGGTTTTTCATATAGTTTTGTTTCGGTTTTTGAAGAACGGGGTTGCACTATTCATTCAGTAACTGAAACATCGTAAACATTACTCATATTTCATGACGAAATGAAAATTCGTGAATTGTGGGAACATTCTGCTGTCTCGACCAAAGTTGCATTCTTCCATAAGCGAGGTCTTCATCTGGCAAATTACTACCATTAACACGTTTCACTTGTGCCCTGTGAACATAATTTTCGCAGGTCACTTCACGCAGATGGTTTGGAAGGGATCTAAGGATTTTGGCATCGGTAAAGCAATCTCCAAAGATGGTAAGGTGTTGGTGGTTGGCCAGTATCGACCTCCGGGTAACATGGTGGGACGGTACGAAGAGAATGTCTTCCCAAGGGCGGACGGCTACCGACCAACACCCAGCACCGCGCAAACCTCCAAGGTAGCATTTACAGTCATTTTCGACTGACTTTTGATTTTATTGTAAAAATGAATGACTGGCAAAATCTTCTACTTTGAGACACTTCCGTCATGCTTCACGAACCGCTGGACGTCTATCCTCGAGGAATGATATGAATGAAAATTCCTGCTTTAAAGTAATCCATATGCATGGCCAAGCCGAACATACTTCTGGTAAAAAAGACATAAAATGTTGAATGGGTCAATTGACATCTCAATTGGTCGGTCAAAAGCTTTAAAGCAAAACCAACTTGGGGGATTAATACTTCTGGCTTTAAGAACTGCGCGAAAGACCTCTCGGCTTACAAAACCCTTATCTGATGTCAGGGACAGGTGACAGAAACAACTAGTTTACGTCACATTCTCTTCATTATCATGCAAAATTATGTTCTCTCGTTTGTTTCCATGAAAAGGTGACTCGAGTTGTCCGCAGCACGCAGTACGTCGTCGAGGAACCCCCGAAAACCGTGGAGCATGTCACCCGACAGGTAATCGACAGATGTCCGGTTTCAAAACAAACCAAAAAAGCAGACAAAAACAAAACAAAAAAGACTAATAATAAACTGACATTGAGGTTTTTGTGAAACCCGCTTCTTGGGCCTTTCCAGCATCAAGAGCCTGAAGTTACAGTAGCTTTATGCCAGATTCTGTCAGCTCCATCATTTCTACTAAGACCGAATACGGGTTTCGCTATCCGCAAAACTTTGGAAGCCTTGTGTCTCTCTCTATTTGCACCCATTCGTGTACCTGTACGTGTCTGTTGATCTCAATCAGTTTGTTTCCTGCATATCTGTTGTGTCCTGCCAACACTCCCTTCGTTGCGAACATGTGTGTTAGATCTTGAATTTCAATTCCTCCTTTTTTTGTCTTTCAGGTTGGCGGTGTCAAGCTCAAAGATGCCGACTTGTCCCCCTCCGATCTCCGGACATTCCAGCGGGACGCCCTCGAAGCTCACAACAAGTACCGGGCCCGCCACGGCGCCGGCGGCCTGTCGCACTCGGAGGATCTGGCGAGGCGCGCCCAGGACTGGGCCGGTCACTTGGCCGAGAAGGACGAGTTCAAGAACAGTGGCAACTCCGATGTCGGGGAAAACATCGCCATGCATTACTCCAGCGCCAGCACGGCTTTTTCTGGTAGGCTTCGAGAAAGTACCCACCCCCGTGGTTAATGAAAAGATCGCCCGTTTGCTTCAAAAGACTGATTTGCCACGCCTTCCTTTGTCGCTAAAACCCTGTTCCTGAAACGTTTTGCCTTCTCAACGTTACAAAATTCAACCCAAATCAAGCACTGATTCCAGCAGCAATTACTGAAGTCACTGTGTAACATCCCCCATTCGTAGTTCTTGTCAACGTAGTTGTCTTTTGCATCTGTGGGGCTGCGCAACTGTCGACCAAAAGAGACCAGTCAAACCAAAAAAAAAATAATAATCGATCAGAATGCCACAACGCTTAGACAGAAGTTCGTAGTAATAACGTGTAATGTATCTTCCATAACTATGTTAACTTAATTCTCAACATCTGCATACGTATGTTCAAAGACTTTCTTTTTCTCTCAGGGGGAGAAGCCACGGATATGTTTTACCGCCAGGTTGTCAAGTATGACTTTAAGAAACCTGGCTTCACATCTGGCGCAGGTGAGAACATTCTTTTTTAAAATACTGTGAAGAGAATACTGTAGTTTATGTCTGCAGCAAAAAACATTAGCTGAAAATCAATCAAAGCGACTACCGTATAATCTCATAACATTTTGGCTAACAACTCCTTCTTGGCAAAGCAGATGTTCATGGTGCTGAATAAAACATTTCCTTGTTAAGTTAGTCTGAAATCAGGACTTTTAGGTGACTTGAAAGTGTGAAATGTTGTCACCATCGACGAGTCCTAGGTTTGCTCCAGCTTCACTTGTCGCTTCTGTATTGACACTTTTCTGCGCATCTAGACACACGCACAATCACTTTAAAGAGCTATTGGGAGATTTGAGCTACCTCTCATTTCGATGTTGAAATTGTCATTGTTGAATAAAAATTTACAACGTATAATTGGCGCAATAGCAAAAGTGCAGTGTAGTCCCTGTTTTCGTCCTTTGCCAGAATTTACGATAGGGCAATACTCGGATCTTAGTTTAAATGTTTTGGCATCTTCCTTGTCCACATGTCACCACTTCCAGGTCACTTCACCCAGCTGGTCTGGAAGGCCAGCCGGGAGATGGGGATAGGCAAAGCGATCACCAAGGAGGGAAAGGTCATCGTGGTGGCCTTCTACAGTCCGCCCGGCAACGTCATGGGCCAGTTCGACACCCAGGTCTCCCAAGAGGGGAAATAAGCACGGCGGTGAGGAAACGCGAGAGGGCAGCAAACATGGTGACACGTAGGAAAATGGCTCTGTCCCTATCGGTGTTAAGAATTTTCTTTCGGTTTTCTTATTTGAGCAATATTCTTAGGGTTGTGCTGTAGGTTTGACTGTAGTTCTGTTGTAACTGCGTGTTTATTTTAATATGTTTTAAAGGTTGCGAATTGTTTTCGAGATTCCGTGGGCATTCTTCTTCGAATTGTTGTCTAGTCTTTGATTTTCAAGCATAACATTATTCCGTAGGTATTTGCATATTTATACCCAGATAATGTGGAGAATAGCAATGTACCTAGAAGTTGGACATATAACATTTCCAATAGCTCCTATTGGCCATTAAAATATTTGTCAGAAGATATAATATTTATTTTGAGTAGGTGCAAACATTATTTTAGAACAGAAGTAAAAAATGCATAGATCAATCTCTAGTTTTCAAAAATATATCTTTGTTGCTTTCCAAAAAAAGCTTATATCTGCGCTCCTGTCTTTCTGTCGACTGTGTTTTTTATGTATATGAATATACATAAAGTGCCTTGGGGTTAACAAATATCATTATCTTCCACTTCCAAAGCTATGTTTCACAACTGAACATGCCCTTTTTAAGCATAAATACGTGTATTTTATTTCACAAGGCTGAACGATGAGTAATTTGTTTAGTGCCGAGGTACAGAACATTTTCTGCCAAGTTCAACATTAGAAATGAACTTATTTGTGCCACTCAAGATTTTGACATGGCTTCTTCATGATCAAAGGAATCAAAGCAACTTTTGCTAAAGCTGACGAGATGTCGACTCTAACATTTGCGTAGATTTCAAGGTGTCTTATCCGAGTGAACATTAATTGCAGTGGTTTTCATGCTTGGATACTAAATAGTTACGAGTCTTGATTAAACCCGAGGTTAGAGACCACACGGGATGAAAAAAAAAACCTTTATCGGCACAAAGAGCATGAAATCCATTGGGCAATGGCATTGCCATACTACTCCAGTACTGTCCTTTCTATTCTGGACAAATTGCTAGTAAGTTGTATCTGAAATAATTATTTCTTTCTTGTAGTTCATTTACTTTTAGCAATTGATAAAAAATGGCAGTACGCTGATTTTTTAACTACATTGAAACCGTGGTGACTGCATCTAATGCGGTAAAGTGAATCTAATTCATCCATTATTTAATCTGTATTGCTGATTTTGTCGTAGACGACAATATTTATAATTTTATTCTTATGTACATTCCTTATTTCGAAATTGGGGAAGATTAGACATTCCTTTTCTTGTTTGAAAGAATTGACTATTACATTCCTTAATATTAAATTGGCCTAATCCCACCTTCTTCATATTAATATGTAAACTACTTGCCTATACCGAAGTAATAATTTGTGGCTGTTCAATATTTAATGTTTGTGAAAAATAATTATACTCATGAGGAGTTTTTAATTAATAATGTTACAGTGAATAATTCTTTATTTATCAAATTATCAAACATAAACGGTGTTAATAACCCTTTTGTTATAGTTCTGGAATTTCTTTCTATTGAAGTTGAAATTACAATAACAAAATAGGCTAGTGGAGGTAACGGTTTGCTGTCATCAAATTTCATTTTATGTAGGCCGTTTGACTTACTGGTGCAACTGAACACTGGTGTACAGTAATAAAACAACCGTTATTCAGTCAGTGATCTGGGCTGTTGCCAGTGACCAGACTGTCATTGAAATTAAAAATTTACATACATGTATAACAACAATATTTCCCATTAGTTTCCAGGAACTTGTCTCTTTTAAAATGTGTAATTCATCCAATAATTAAAATATAAGATCCACGAAGTTTCAACTTGTTCAAGTAATTTCTGCCTAAGGTTTGTTGCATTTTCCCTACATAACGTGCAATGTACTTGTTCAGTTGAACAGATTTCACTAGACAAATGCAAAACCGGTCCAACACGGCAAAAATTAAGCCAAGACTTGTGCATCGAAATTCTTTTGTCAAAAAATCACTTTAAGTGACACGCTTACTCCTCTCCCCATTTGACATGATATGCACAAATTCCTGCAAAGTGTGACCCCTTTCTCTTCCTTATTTTACTTCCTGGTGGAAATCGTCCTGTTATATGAGAACCGTTTCTAGTGTACGCTAAAATCCATGCATTGCAGTCATATATTGTCTAGAATCCATTCACTCCGGGTTGCCAGTAGGGGTAATCAAAGGTCTTTCAAAGCTTTTCGTCCTTCAGCATTCAAATGGAATGAATGCGGTCACAGATCAATGAGTATCAGCCATATACAGGAGCGACTTTAGGGTTGTATCGACCGGTTGTACCCCCATTTGGCGGAGAAGGCAGCACATTCATCTGCCGACAACGATTTACAAAATGCACAAGTCTAGCTAACACTTGTGTAAAAATGCAATGCTCAATGTCTCACACACGCCAATTGCCAGAAGACAAGTGACATCTTGACAGCTTCCCTGTGAGAGAAGACACGAGGTGAGATGACCACATAAGTAACTGGTGCGAGGTTGAAACTGGTTAGGCCTACGTCGTCGCCAAAAGGTAATTATACACTGATGTGTCATATACATGTATTTAAATGTTTGTTGTAAATCAGAATACCGTGAATATACCACAGCTGCATTATGTTAGGCGGTTTGCCAGCTTCTATTACACTTTTCTCACACCCATGTTGTCATGGATGACTGAGCACCATTGATTTCAGAGCAAACACACTGTTAAAAATGCGTGGTTGAGAAGTAACCACGTCGTTGTCATTTTTAACCATGTTACCGTTGTCAACTATGCACCGACAACATCTGTGGTCAGAATGACCCCACGTGCCGTAGTCAACAGAAACAATCAAGCGTTGTTGTCACTTCTTCACTAGACTGAGGTTAACATGTAACAATGGTCGAATTAAACCCATCGCGTTGCATTATTGCTTACTGCAGTGGTCACAGCTTTTAACCACGTAGTGTGGCCGGGGTCACTAAAATTCGATCCATTCCCGTGGTCAACTAGAAAGAGGAAAAGAATCTGAATACATGACCCAAAGGCTTACTTCATCTGCACTCAAAAACTTGTTCTTGGTGTACAACCATTCGAATTTTATGCTGCAATCATACACTCTAAAAACTCCCGGGTCAGATTGACCCAGAATTGGGTCCCATTCGGGACCTTATTCCGGGTCAAAATATGACCCTCTTTTGGGACATATTTGACCCAGAATGGGTAATACTTGACCCTCTCTGGGTCACAATTTGACCTGGAAAAGGGTCATGCCGAATGGGACCCAATTCTGGGTCAATCTGACCCAGGAGTGTTTAGAACGTACACGCAAAAGTTTCTTGATGTAAAGAAAAACAAATTGGGGGTTACATTGTATTACTGTAAAAGATTTGGGTAAACATGATTTGTTGTTTCGCAGTTTCACTGATATGTAGTATATGCAGGTCTACAGACTTTTTATTTTCCTGTAAAACACTAAAATCAGATTTATTTTGCATGATTTTATTTCCAACTACAATTCTGAACTTGAATTACAACTGCAATTACGTTTATAACATTCTTAGTTGAAAAACAATAAACATGTTCTAAAAAAGTGTGTATCACTTTGCCCTAGCGTCATTTCACGAAAAAAATCAGTCAATCAGAATGCCCAATTAATTTGACTCTTGTCTAGTCAAAATTCCCTCGTAACGTGGTTATTCAAACAATATACGTTGAACAATCTGTGGTTACCTTTTTCAAGAAAATGACCCCAAATATCGTTAGATTCATTTGACCACGGAATTTGTAAACACGTAATTGGAAACAATGTTACGTTAATAAGTAAAGCTGACACGGTGGTCCACCTTCGCTGATGGTATATACGTGTGTGTGTTCCGAAGAGGATGTAATCCCACTGACAGGGCGTTGATGCAGGGCACGTCACGTCCCCGTCAGCATGTGTTCAAATATTGTTTCATGATAACGTCAGTCTCTATGTCACATTGGGATGGTGCCTTTAGACTGTTTAGGGTTCCAGACCTCATTTTCATTTTTAGTACGGCTTTAAATCAGTTAGATGTAATTTCTCACAAATTTTAAAATATTCTGGACAAACATTAGCATAACTCTGTGATAAACTTTCATTTAGTCGTTGTTATTTTTACTCTCAGTTTCCCAACATGAATAGTTTTCCCAACCATTTCAAGATGGCCGCCACTTGAATACTGTCTATTAGAAAAGTACTGCTTTTTGTTCGGATGCGACTTTTAAACCAATGAGCTCATACACAAGAACCACGTGACTGCAGAGTAATGAGAAGCTAAATAAAGCAATAACATTATCAACAACAACAAAACAGAAACAAAAATAGATTTCCCTACCTTTTGTTGTGCGATCATGCAGAAATTCTTAATCTTTAAAAACAATATCCCATGAGTTGTCGTGTAAAAACGCTGAAGGGGTGTTTTCATGTGTGAATGAGACAAATGACCCTGCCGCTAGATATGGAATTCCATATCTGCCGTCGCCCGTCGTGCGTCGTCCGTCGTGCGTCGTCCGTCGTGCGTCGCCCGTCGTGCGTCGCCCGTTGTGCGTCGCCCGTCGTGCGTCGCCCGTCGTCCGTCGTGCGTCGCCTATCAAATGGGTTGCATAGGACATGCAAAAGCCGTTGTTTAACAAATGACAATGTGATGATTCCATTCACTTCTAAAGATCTTTTCCGAATAAGGCAAGTACAAATCCCACCTGCAAAGCATAAACTAGTCACATAATTAATCCCAATAATGCTAGACTACCCCTGCCCCTTGACAAGAAAATTTTGCCTCTCTGAGAATTCAACCAAGTGTTT